AATAAATAAATATTACCAAAGGCATGTGGGTATGGAAGAAAACACTACATACAGAGATCAATACCAAATGTGGTTGCAAACATTTACTAGACAGCTCAGATAGTATCTCCTGAGAACTGGTATATGTATTTACTTCAGGATAATTGTCTTCCAACATATGAACACTATCATGAAAGAACGTTTTACTTTTTAAAAAATGCACACCTGTTCCTCCTTAATAGTGTTGCTTACACAGCAGAGGAAAGATAAAGTACATAAAAGAGGAACGATTACTGAAAGAAAACTCAGAGGACACAAGATACCTTTGTCTATTTTTACAACTTCTTAGGAGTCTGAAACTATTTCCAAGATGGAGGGAGGAAAGGAGAAGGCTACATTAAAAAAATTAAGACGTGCTATGTACCAACTCTCCATGATGAATGTAATCATCACGTACTACAAAAATATACTAATAAAATTATATCAAAACAAAGATCTTAAAGGAATAAGCTTGAGAATCTAGTGGATATACCAAATTCAACTCCTGCCAATTTCAGAATTCAACCAACAATGGCAATGACAATGTGAAATATGATTATCATTGCAGTTCTGTGATTAAAGGGCTACGACTGGGCTGGGGAGATAGCTCAGCAGCTTAAGTGCCTGCCTGGCAAGCACAAGGTCCTGAGTTTGATCCCCAGTACAAAAAAAAAAAAAAAAAAAAAAAAAAAAAGTGCTACAATCATCTGACTAAAGCAAAAAGAGGTATCATGAATTATTGATTTATATAACATTCATGTTTTAAAGTAGTCATTCATCCATTAACTTGAAATAAGAAAAAACAAGCACTGATGTGCTCTAATTTTGGAAACTTGCAATGAAGACATTCATAACACAATGAGAACAGAGGGCAAGGAGGCTGTGAGTCTGAGGAGCTAAAGAAAGTGTTCCTGAAAGGGCAGTAATCCAGCTAAAACAACTGCATGGAACAGACAGAATATGCTGAAGGACAAGGGGACACAGAAGAGGGTACACAGGGGCTCAGGAAGGCAGCAAAAGAGGGAGATAGCATTTTAGCAAAAAAGGACAATCAGGACTCAATACCTAAGTGAGTATCACTTGCTGACTCACTCCTCAGTTCCAATTCCAAGTTACCATCGTCTGTTATGTCTTCTCCAAGCACAGCAGCCCAGTCTTTCATCTTTATCAAGCGTTCAGTCAGAGACTTGACATTTAACAAAGGCAAAAGGCAAGAGAGAAGGTAAAGCCTTATGCTAATGGCTTATAAAAATCAATCTAAATAAGTAACAGCGCACAAGTACTTATTTTCTGTTACTAGGCTAAGTAGTTTCTGTTACTAAGAATTATAAAACTTGTTGTTTATTAAATTCTGTGAGCTAAATACCAAAACTGTTTCTAAACCAAATCCAACGGCTTATTCTTGCTAGGTACGCGAAATGACAACAAAGTGATAACATACTGCCTTATACGACATTTCTCACATGCCACAAATAAAACAGGCATTACCATGGGAGTGAATTTTATGGGATATAAAATCTGCAAGTAAGATAAAATGATACACAAAATGATCACAGATTTTTACTTGACTCATTCAATTAAACACCTAAAGAACTCAGTTGATGAAGAAAAAGATATTATGGGAAGAATTTAAATGAGAATAATAAAAGTTTTGCAAGTGTTTAAAATCTTCTTGAATAAATGACCATTCTCTAACACTATGGATAATCAAATGACTACACCCTGGTCTAAAATTTTCACCTTTCAGCTTCATTCCTCTCTTCAGGATTTCTGGTATAAACAACAAATTTGAGCAGTGTTGGTGATCACACCCCATTCTTTGGTTTAGGAAGAATCCCAAGCCCTTTAAGCAGAATAAGTTTATGGGAAAAAATAGTACACTCATCCCTCAGTACCCATAGGGAGCTGGTTTCAGGCTTCCGCCCTCTCCGCCATGGATACTGAAACCCACAACACTCAAGGCCTTCCCCTCATGATAAACAGCACAGTACTTGCTCATTGCCTATGCATATCCTCCTGAATGCTGCACATCATTTCCAGAGGACTGATAATACCTAATGCAATGTAAATTCTACTAAATTACTGTTATGCTTCCTTGTTCAGGGAATAATGACAAGGAACAACTCTGTATTCAATACAGATGCAATTTGGGGCACTTTCAATCTATGGCTGGTTCAAGTTATAATTTTGGAACCTGTGGATACAAAGGGTCAACTTCATGGTAAATTATGAATAAAATTCCTGAAGCTAGTATCTTGATAACATTTTCCTAGCAACAAGACTAACATAAACAAATAGCAATACCCATTTTTGTGTACAGACTGCTGAAGGCTTTTCATCCTGTTATTGATACTCATACTTGAGTATCTATACTGTGAAAGATTAAGATTTAAAAGAAACGAGGGCCAGCTAGATAGTGCCACAGACTAAAGCACCTGCTTAGGCAGAGCACAGTGGCTAGGGTTTGATCCCTGGCGTGCAGTGCTGGCCCTGCCCCCAGGGCACATTGAGATGGCGATTAAGATTGGGCATGGTGGCATGCACCTATAATCCTAGCACTTGGGAGGCTGAAAATAGGAGACTCATTGCAAGTCTGATCCCCATACCTGTAGACCCTGTACTACACACACACACACACACACACACACACACACACACACACAGATTTAAAAGAAACGGCCCATAGGGACTCATGCCTGCAATCCAAGCATTCTGGTAGGCTAGTAGAATTGCAAGTCTGAGCTCTACTTGGGCAACTTAGCAAAACCCTGTCTCAAAATTAAAAAAATAAAAAGTTCTGGGGATGCAGCTCAGTGCAAAGGCCCTGGGTTTAGTCCCCAGTGCAGGTTGGCAGGGAAGGGAGAGGGGCTCATGTGCAGGAAAAGGGCTGGCACAGGCAGAACAGGGGTAGGATGAAAACAAGCCAGTCCTGAGAGGAATATCAATTATTTTATTTCTACAATTATAGTCAAGTTCCAATTGAATGTATATTTTAAAAGGCTTTCATCTTTATGAAAGTACAGAATGCCTGCTAATTTAGGTAATAAAGACATTCAGTCAATAAGCATGACTTTAACTGTCATATTTCTCAAACTTTTTCCCACCTCTTACCAGCAGAAAGTTGGCAGCCTAAAGAGAAAAGTAAACATATTATTCTTTTTCCTTAAGTACCTAGAATAAGATAAAGAGACCAAATGGACACACAGAACATAGAATCTGATATATATGCTATAAATCCATAAATCTTAAGAAGCACTTGAAAGTCTAATCAAATACTTCATGAAAAGAAAAGCCTCCAAAAACAAGTTTTCAAATTTCAGAGTTAGAGTTAATATTCAAGTAAACTCAGTCATGAAAACTAGTACAGCTGTTTACCTTGAGGTGATTTTCTTTATCATTTAGAACCTGTTCTGCACGTACTCTGGAGTCTTCAAATGTCACTTTCTGCTTATTAAGCTCATTCACTAGTTCTTTCCATGTTTCAACTTCTTGTAAAAGCTGAAATTGAAACAATAACTAAGAAATGCCACTCCTCTTATCATTCTTATGTACAGATGCACTTATTCACACCTTTGGGAAGCTCACTGAGATATGAACCACGGAACAGTTCCCCGGCGCACCTCTCGGGCAGCACTTGCTTATACACTGACTATCTGGAGCATCACCGGAGCAGGTGTCATTTCAACCACTCATCCTTGTACGGAATAAATTTGATAAACTATCATTTTTATATTTCCTGTTATATAATCTTATAAAAATTAATGGGAAAATGCAATTTTTGGTCATCCTATATTTAAATGGGACTGGTAGACATTTAAGAAGCAGTGTTATGTAGAAGAAAGAGATGGCTACTGTTCTCAAAGAAATTTCAGAATAATTGTGCAAAATAACAGGCATTTAAATATTCTTTAACTGATCTACAAAATAAATGTATATCAAGAAAAGGGTTCCCAACATATACGAATCTGTTACACTTGGTCAGGGTTTTTTCTTTTCTTTCCTGTGTATGTGGGGAGTTGTGTGTGGGGACAGGTATGTGTACTGAGATTGAGTCCAGGGTCTCATATATGATAGACAACTGTGCTACCATTGAGCTATGTCCCTAACCCTTATAAATCTGATTTTGACTCTCGCTGAATTGCTGAGGCTGACCTCAAACTTGCAATCCTCCTGCCTCAGCCTCCTGGGTAGGTGGGATTATAAGCATGTGCTAACATAGCTAGTAATGCAGCCTTTTCTTACCAGTCCTTACATTGCATGTAACATACCACATCTTATTTGCATCTCTGTATTGTTTTATATTAAAGATAAGAAGCCCTTAGTGCTATCAATAATCTAGAACAGATTGGATTCTACATAAACAATAATTCACTGATTAAGTTTTGGAAAAAAAAAAACTTTCTGAACATAACACTAAAAGTTCTAAGAGATAGATAACTATGTAAAACTTACAAATTCAAATACAAATAAAAAAGAAAAGTAATTCAAAAGGAATTCTTAGGCGTTACAAATTGTTAATCACCTTAGTTTGTAAAGGGTACTTGGAAGTCACTAAAGAGCCAGGCATAGTACACATGCCTGTAAATCCAGCACTCTGGAGGCTGAAGCAGGACGGTCTCCCTGAGTTTGACACCAGCCTGGGCTACACAGTGAGTTCAAGGTTAGCCTGAACTATATGGTGAGACCTTGAACCAGAAAACCGAAAATGCTAAAGGAAGTTGGTGAGAAAAAAGAGACTTCAAAAAAAGGCTAAGCAAGACATTCACAAAAGAAATATAAATGTAAAAGCCCAAATTTACTTTAATATATTCTATCAAACAGTAATTACTGTAGTTCTCTGTAAAACATTAGCGTATTTCCTACCACATACACACACAAAAAAATCTAACTCATTAATCAGATGATAATAACACATAAAAATAATGAGGATTGAGCCGGGCGTGGTGGTGCATACCTATAATTCCACCACTCGGGAAGCTGAGGCAGGAGGACTGCTTCAAATTTGAGGCCAGCCTGGACCACACACTGAGTTTAAAGTTAGCCTGAAATACATAGCAAGACCCTGTCTCTTAAAAAAAAAAAAAAAAAAAAAAAACGATAATTAAAGATCAAACTTGGATGTGGTGATTCAGTGTCTCTAATGAGTCACTAAAGAAACTGAGTAGAAAGCACATACAGTCTTTCAAGCAGCAAGGAATTTGAACAGGGAATCTGTGATTACAGAAAGAACTGGTTGAAGGTAACTGTAAAGAGTCAGGAAAACCAAGCTGAAATTGTGTTTCAAATGAGAAAAGGCCAGTTTTGAGTATAGCATGGGAAATTTAACACAGGGTTTACCACCACTTTCTCCCATTATCTAGTGAGATGACAAAAAAGAAACAAAATAAGACACAGACCCTACAAGAGCTAGGGAGTGGGAGATGAGGCAAAAGATGAGTAGAAAGTGATGAGACAGCTGTGTACTGATCTGACACAGCCCAGATAGTCTTACTCAAAGGCACAAGTACTAGGGCAAGAGCAAAAATGGAAGGGAAACTGGCCAAAGTCTAAAAAGCTTCTTCTGTTCTGTCATTTTTTAAAATTTTTTTTGGTGCAGGATCTCGCTACACAGATTAGACTCGCAGAAATCCTCCTGTTTCAGCCTCCTTAGTGGTAGGATTACAAGCACGTACCACCACACCCAGTTTCGGGATGACACAGCATGCGGTACCAGGGATCAAATTTGGACCCTGTGCCTACCAGGCAGGGGCTTAAGACTGCTGAGCTATCTCTCCAGCCCTCTTCCTTTCTTTCAGTGCATCCACATACATTCTTATTTGTATGATCTCTCAATCATTCTCTTTCACACCAGCATACATACACATATTGACACAAACATACTCTTTGGAAATACAGAATCTGAGCCTCTACCATATCTGGCCCAGGTGAAGGTGGCACTAACACATTCAAAACAAAGGTATTAAGTACCAGCTGACTTACTGAACAGCAATACCAGCACTCCTTACCTCATTGAGCTGCAAAAAATTGTTGACAATTAGGCTCTACCTTCCCAAGGGAAACTGAGGAAAATTTATATGGGTTAAAATGGTCTTCAGACATGAACTACTAATGATCCTCTAACTGGAAACATCCCAGCCAGAGTGCCCTACAGAAAAGCCCACACATGACACACAGAGAGCTGCCAACTGGAAATGGAGAGCTTTACAATTAAATAAGCACAAGCCATGAATCATCAAGTACCTGAAAAGAGCACCTTCATAGTCCAATGGAGTGGAGGAAGAGGGGAAAGGAAGGGAACTGAGACGTGTTATGTGTATGTACCAATCTTCCACAGTGAAGGCAATCATTATGAACTAATAAAAGTTAAAACAAAATTAGATAAAGCAACCCACTGCCTTGGAAGGTAGTAGGAATGGTGATGGAGAGGTAGGATGCTGGAATAGAAGCTGCTTGCATTACATCCCAGCTCTGTTACTTTCCAACAGGGGTCCCTGGGTTATTTACAAATTCTTTCTGTGCCTTACTCAGGTAAAGTGTCAAATCTGAAAGAGAATATGGTCAACCTACCTGCTGTCAACACTAGTTAATATATGTAAAGAACTCGGGATATTACATGTCACATCATAAGTGTTTAATAAATGCTGCTATGGTCATTGTTTTTTTAAAAAGACATAGGTCAACATAGAAAGTAAAGGAACTTAAAGGAAGCAAGTTAACTCAGGGAACTAAAAAAAAAAAAAAGAAACACTTCAAAAACACCCTGAGGGGCTGGGGAGATGGCTCAGTAGAATAAGCGCTTGCCTGGCAAGCACAAGTGCCTGAGTTCAATCCCCGGTTCCACCAAAAAAAAA